AGGCTTTACAATGTGCTTTAGTGGCTTTTTTAAACAGCTTGTGTGGAACAGCATGAAAAACCCCATGGGGGGCAGTACTGCTTCAAAACACACAGGGACGCTGCGAGTCAGCATCATCTCCCTGGCGAAAGCTTGGGGAATTGGTGAACCCAGCTGTTAACTGTGACTGTACATCTCAACAGGAGCCGACTGCTTGTCTTTCTCCCGTGGAAGGGTTGATAGGTTCAAAATGCCCACCTTCTGGTTAGCAGCCCCACACCCACCCCATTACCCCAGCCAGGCTCCTTGAGAAATAGCAAAGCAGAAAGAAAGCTGTACATCTTCACTCCTCCCAGATGTCCTCAAGGTTCTTTATCAAGTAACTCATTAAGAGCCGTAGACCCAGAGGACCATGGGCGGTGACTGGGAAGCACTACCCCCGTCACCCCATAGGGACCCTCTTCAGTAGGTTTGCCCCCAGAGTCTCAGAAGGGGCCTGAGTCTACCCCCAGGAGGAGGTCTCCAGGGATCAGAACTCTAGCCTGGGAATTGCAGCTGCCAGGAGGGCTTCCTGGTCACCCAGAGTACTTTGTACACAGGACAGTCCTCTGACTGCTCTATTGGTCTGGACCCCGCAGTGCCCCCTTCCCCTGGGGCCAGGCGCTAACCTCCTGGGTACCTGGGCCACTGCTTGTCAGAAAGAGCCACCAAACAGCAAATCTCTCAGGTGTCTGCATGCCCCAGGTGACTACCACCAAGAGGCTGTAATGGGTGAGGCCTCGAATACTGAGCCTCAAGAGGATAGGATAACAGGGCCAAGGTGACCTCCATAAAGACAGGACTGGGACCAAAGAACCCTCAGTCCTTGGAGTGTGGTCAGGATCACTCCAGGGCACTGCTTTCCTGGGCCACCTACTGTCCTCCTGGGTCCCTCATTATTCTCTTAGGTCTCCTGGGTCCCCCACGGTTCTCCTGGGTTCCCCATAATCCTCTTGGGTCCCTCTCAGTCTTCCTGGATCCCCTTTTGTCTTCTTGGGTCCCCCACAGTCATCCTGGGTTCCGCATCATCCTCCTGGGTCCCCCACCATCCTTCTGGGTTTCCCAAGGTTCTCCTGGGTTACCCTCAGTCCTCCTGCGTCCCTCATCTTCTTCCTGGGTCCCCCTTGGTCCTCCTGGGTGATGGACAGAGCTCAGAGCAGTTCCGGGGACAAGGTGGCTTGCCCTCCCCCATCAGAGCCATGTCAGGCCTCCCACAAAGTGAGCTCAACTGACTCCTGACAAAGCGTGGCGTTTCACCTCTTTTTGGGTAAATATATCCATTTTTAATAAAACCCTGAGCTTTTAATACAAGTACAGACAAGAAGACTGGAAATGTTATGAGAAGGAATTAACAAGCAGGGCTGGGGGGCTCCTGGGAACCCGGGGCTCCTGTTTCAGTCTCTGTGATTATCTTTTCAATCTACTGAAACTTATTTCCAAAGACAAAGGGATGGAAGACCAGGAGCGGCCCCTCCGCCAGTGGCTGACGCCCAGGGAGGCCTCCTGAGGGCGCCTGCGAGGACTGGCCAGGACAGCAGCCAAGGTGGCAGCCAGGACAGTCCCAGGTCCACCACCTACACCTGTGGGGCTTCTTCCCCTCACACAAAGCCCACTTTGCAAGGACAAGGCAGCCTGTTGACACCGAGGCTGCCCCAGAGTGGCCAGAGGCGTCCCAGCCTAGAGGTTTGACTCCCCAGGAGGGACAAGCACAGTGTGCGCTAAAGGGTGTGGACTCTTTTGCCAGACTCCTTGGTTTTTAATTATTGAAGTAAGTTCTTTATCCTCTTAGGACCGTTCCCATCATCTATAAAATGAATGTAACAATATCACAGCCTTTAAAGAGCCCCAAATTCACTGTCATCAAGTCAATTCTGACTCCACTGGACTTCTGAGGCTATAAATCTTGACAGTTCTGGTGGCCTAGTGGGGTAAGGAGCTGTGCTGCCAACCCAGCAGCAAGAGGTTCTAATCCACTGGCTGCTCAAAAGATGGGCAGTCTTCTCCTCTGCCTCTGAAAACCCACCAGAGGGTCAGCTATAAGTCAGTTTCAACTTGATGGCACACAACAACATAAATCTTTACGGAAGGGACTGTCCATCTTTCTCCCTTGGAGCAGCTCGTGGATTTAAACCAGAGACCTTTCAGCTAGCAACGTGATATGGCATGCACTACATATCCCTCAGGCAGGAACCAATCGGCCTCAGAGGAAGTACGGCCAGGGCACTCCGTAGAACCATCCCTATACTTTGCTATCAGGAGGTCCCTGGAGAAGGACATAAGATTTGGTAAAGCAGAGGGCAGTGAAAAAGAGAAAGCTCTTTTTTTTTTTTAATTTAGGTTGTTTATTTTTCATTTCAATGAACATCTACAGAGATTTTGGGATTCCATTCATTCATTGTTGCTCCCTTCTCCCCTCACAAACCCCTCCCCCCCATTTGCTCCTCTCCTTGAAAAGCAAAAGAAAAACTCCCTCATTGGTACACAATCCGCCCCCGCACCTCCCCAAACCCCACCCCCTACCCCCAAATATAATCCACTCTGCAACCCTCATTGCATACTCCTACGATAAAAATAATGCCCTAAAATATAATACTTTTAGACTATTCTCTCCCCCATAGACTTCAATGCCGTAAACATATTTCATCCAGTTTGTCTCAGTCTTACCCCCACCCCAATGCCAGCCTCATTCTACAACAGTGGCACTGTACAGCATTTGTCCTCTGTGACTGAGATACCTCAGAGAAAGCTCTTTAACGAGACGGGTGACACTGATTGCAAGAGGTGGTCAAACAGAGCAGCGACCATGAGGAGGCCACCGGACCTGTGATGCATGAAAAGCATGGAGAATGGAGTCAGCCAGCTAACAACTGCGGAAAAAGTGACGGAACTGCTCTGAGTACCTCATGAATGCTAACGTGCCTCTTTCCAGATGATGTACATGTTGCTGTTGTTATGTGCTGTCGAGTCACTTGCGACTCATAGCGACCCTATGTACAACTAACTCTAAATGCTGCTCTATCCCTTGATAATCTTATTGTCTCCGACACGCCTATCCCTATTACCCTAGTGACAAAATCAATCCATTTCATCAAGGGTCTTCCTCTCCTGTGCTGTCCCTCCACCCTCCCAAGCATGACGCTTTGCAACATGTCCAAAGTACGTCAGGTGAAGCTTCAGAATCTCTGCCTCCAAGGAGCAGCCTAGCTTCACCCTCTCCAGGACAAACTTGTTTGTTCTCCTAGCAGTCCATGGTATATTCAATACTCTTCTCCAGCACCACAGCTCAAAGGCATCAACTCTC